TTAAATTTACAAGTAAGCCTACCTAAACGGACAAAAGAATATACATGATTATGATTAATAATTCGAATAAAAAAAAACAATGGTTAATAAAGTAGTGATTGCCGTAGTTTGGCTTTTTTCAGTTCTGTCAGGTATACCTGCTATAAAATGTGATAGGATGTGAATGAATAGTAAAATTATTACGTGTTATTACTCTCTGTAAGTTATATAGATTTTTTTCAAAACTGTCCTTGCGAGAACTTGTTTATTATTAAACTTAGAAACAAAATATTCCAATTCATAAGGGCTGTTAATAGATTCTTACTGATCAAAATAATAATGTTACAATACCTGCAGACTGCCTATAGTGGTCCTTTAATATCCAACAGGATTACGCGTTTCGGTATATCGTTATACCCTCATCAGATCCTATATACAAAACTTAAAGTTTTTTCGACTCGTCACAGTTTTAAAACACAGTTACAAAACATTAATCACGAAATTAGTATATTACGTTACTAGTCCTGAAAATAAGTGTTTACCGGACGAGTGTGGTCGTTCCCGTGCGAGACGAAGTCGAGTACGGGATTACCATACGAGTCCGGTACACACATTTTGGACGAGTTACGTACGATAGTTTACGCCATACTACTAAATCTGTACAAATCCTAATATATTTTCACCGACATGCCACAGAACATGGACTAAAAATCACTAGTCATAACCTCTAAGAGAGGTTATGTTTTTGTTTATAACCATTCATTGCTACCTAAATATAGTACCTATAATCAGCTGATTGGTGTCCGGCAAAACTCATTACAGTACAGTAGTACGCAATGAAACCCCATTTGAATAAGCTGACGGCAAACAGCTGTTTTCTGGACTAAATCCTTGCGTGGATATTCGTTAAAATAATGTAGTGTGGCGTAATAGTATATTACGTTACTAGTCCTGAAAATAAGTGTTTACCGGACGAGTGTGGTCGTTCCCGTGCGAGACGAAGTCGAGTACGGGATTACCATACGAGTCCGGTACACACATTTTGGACGAGTTACGTACGATAGTTTACGCCATACTACTAAATCTGTACAAATCCTAATATTTTTTCACCAACTAAAGGGCTAAAAATCACTAGTCATAACCTCTATAAGAGAGGTTATGTTTTTGTTTATAACAATTCATTGCCACCTAAATATAGTATAATCAGCTGATTGGTGTCCGGCAAAATTCATTACAGTACAGTAGTACGCAATGAAACACCATTTGAATAAGCTGGCGGCAAACAGCTGTTTTCTGGACTAAATCCTTTCGTGGGAAGTTCGTCAAAATAATGTAGTGTGGCGTAAAACTATTTACAGTAGGGCTACTAATTAAAAACGAGAGACAAAAGTGGACCAATGCATGCGTTTCAAGTGTAGAGTCTCGACTGGAGGTTATCTTGTCCTAGTAGTTGAACTTTGTCCCCCCGGCTTCTTTTATCATTCATTTCTGGCTCTGTCTAATCCTATTAATGTTTCAAATAATATATTGGACTGGAACAAGCTTTTATTATTTAATAAATCATAAGGGCGAATTTTCGTTGCTTTATATATTTCATAATTTTCCAGAGTTGTCATAATTTCCCAAAAATGAATTTATATGTGTATATTTTTTTAAACGTTGCGCGAAGGTAAAAATTGCGATTTTTGCTTAAGGTGAAAATGTATGTTCCATTTGATAGTTCTAAATTCAAATTCCTGCAACACACCTGTCAGACTGCAGTGTAGTGTGTCTCTGTCACAGGTGTATTCTGGTAACTGTTTGGAAGTGTAAATATGACCAGTGACAGTTTATGAGTCCCACCGCTGTAAACGATATTAACCTGATGGTTTATGTCGCTATCAATCATATACTGACAATGTTTCAACCGTTATGTAAGTAAAAACTCAGCTTTTTACTAAGGTTTGTTACTCTTTAAATAATTCAGGTGTAATGTCTGTTACTGTATAGAATTCGCCAACTTTCGTACCTTCTTAAAGCCCTTTTATTTTTTTATGTGAGTTAACCAATAATGAATTGGCCAATTTAAAAGTGATAATCCATGTCCCCTGAAACGATGATTAAAATAACGTTTAGAACGGCATAACGTTTTAGAAGCGATCTTCTATGCAATTGATTGATAACAAAAGTTGGTTACAAAATAACTTAAAATACTGTTTTTCCTTCTTTATATTTCCAATTCATAATGTGATTATTGTTTTTTTTTTTTTACTATTTGGTTAAAGCAATACACAGACTATTTCAAAGTCATAACCTATTGATGTAATATGAAGTTCTTGTCGTGTATTTCATGGATAAAATAATGGTTCCGTGATTTTTGGGGAAAATGTCACATTTCCACATCGAAACATTTTGTTAACTGTTTGGCAACAAAAAAATATACCGAGTTAATAAATTCCAAAATAAGAAGAGTTACCGATTTGCGTTCGAGGTTTGGGTAAATCTGATTTAGTCTAATATAACGTCTCAAGTTTAGCTTATCGGAGGATTTACATATTTCCAATTACAAATTTAAGCTCAAATAATTAATATTTGATCATGACAAAAATATAAAACTAGAACTAGGTTTTGTTCAGTTCTGGCAGATATAAAGGCAATGTTCCTCATGCATTAGACATTACTCTAAATGTTTGAGTAATTAAAGCCTAAGTTTGTTCGCCTGATGTAATATGCATTAGTTACGTAATACTTGAATTTTAACGTATGCTTGTCTATCTTTACATCAAAATTAGATACTTACTGGATACTTTTAGGGAGATTAAAGCCCATAGTTATATAACCACTTAGTTTTAAAATCCTTTATAATATTTGTAGTGTTTATGTACAACTGAAAAAAAAAATTATTTAGTATATTTATATATTATTATCGCTCTTTAAACCTTTAAGCACACTAAATCATAAATTAATTATTAGGAACTCACACCTTAAATTAACAGATTAAAACTTAGGCTTCAGGCTGAATATACAATAAATCATATATTTTGAAGAATTTTGTAAATAATAATAAAAAAGATCTTAACTTATTTTCGTATATCAGAACGAGAAACAAAGCAGTTATTGTATTAAAATCGATAAAAGTGCATTGGGTAAAAAACGTATTTGGTTCACGATGAAAATATACTTAGGCCTCCTCACAGTAATAATTTGGCGAACTATAAGTGTTACACAATCGGGTCAAAGCTATGAAGAATCAAAATATCTGTCGCTTGAGATAACAATAATCGGTAATGTACGTAGCACATTGGGCTGCATATGAATTCAAAGATTGTGGATAGCTATTGGATGTTTAGTACTCCGTTCCTCGAACAGGCATTTCAGCACATGCCAAGGTAAATGCATGTTCTGTGCAATGCACAAGGTTACTTCCACGCACACGTCTGTTGAAACGCCCCCTTTATTTAAATAAACCGCATCCTTAATTCAATGAGCGTCTTTTCAAAAAGAATGATTCACTAAAATCTTTTAGTGACTTACATCCAACATCTACTTCACAAATACCATATAAAAAATTAACACAACTCAAAACATTGAAGTTGGATTATAAAAATATGAGTAACTATTTTTAAGAGGTTCCCAGCTTTAGTATTAATTCTATTAGTTCTAAAGTGATTGTATTATTAATACACTATAGAAATTAAATAGGTCTTAAAACTACAACCAGGGTTCTCAAAAAGACGGTCAGTTCATTTAACTGCTTAAAACACAAACATTTGATAATAGTAATGATTGTAGACTTTTTATATTGGATAAAAACAAATAGAAGACATTTCGTGTAGGCCTAATTGACCTAATGTTGAATATTGATGTTGATGATTATTACAATTTAATATTATACTTAATCACCACTACATCTATATAAATAAAATTAGAGTTTTGTCTGTACATTGCTTAGAATAATGAACTTTTTGGTTATTTTTACATTTCATAGGTCAGAGAAACCGAATCAAACCTTATCTCAATTTCTGTCTGTCTGTCTGTCTGTCTGTCTGTCTGTCTATCTGTCATTCTCTTGGTAACGCTAAAATACGCACTTTATTACAACTACTCCTCAATAACTATAGCACTGTCCCGCCTGAAACTTATTTTCCAAATACTATACATATATGAGATGGTTTTAGACGTATTTCATCGAATATGAGACAGTTAGATATTTAACAGTAAACCCTTGAAAATCAAGTTTTTGTCGATTTTTGACGTGGAATTTCTGGAAGAATGTTGCTTTGTTTACAACTAATCATATGCACATGGTTTTAATTGAAATACAATCTTAATTTTGACATTGGCATACAGCTGTGATTAGAAAACGTTAGCCTATTTGAACTCAAGGTTAACCATAGCCTTATCGATTCACACAACTTAAAAACCATACGAAATGTATACTATATTATATAACTGAACACCAGTTCTGCTAATTATAACAATGGGTTTTGTACATTTCATCCATTACCGTACAAATAATTAAAATAATAATACATTAATTGGTTAGAAGTAAATTTAATTCAAATTACAGATTCAATACAAAGTATTCAATATAAAAGTTAAACATTTTAGATAACAAAATTACGATCAGCTGATTGTTATTCTTTAATATCTGTGCGCTACTAACCAGCAAACAAACTTGACCAGTTTATTATTGTTCATTACTCTTTACACCAAAATAAAAGTTATAATAGTTAATAATGTCCTAAATTATTTCACGTTTATAAATAAAAGAAAATCTACTCTTCTTTTAATTTATTTTTTTTTGAGGTAATGTTTTTAAAAAAGTTCATATTCCCATATGAATTTGCATCAATCAGATGTTTCATACTGTACAGTAGAGATATTCGTTGACATAGTGTCAAACACAAATTAAATTTGTTTACAACTAAACATATGGACAATATTTTTGTTGCTTTAGTTGAGAGGTTACAAGTTAATCTTTAATACATTATTTGTTGAAATATTTTCTATTGTTTCTAAATAAATATGTCCTGAAGAGTATGCCTCGCAAGAGAAAAAGCAATTTGGGTAGAAAAACAAATAATGCCAAGAGACAAAAATTGTGTGTATCCACGGAATCAGTTGATTATGATGATTCGGACTCTGATGATGGTGTACATAGCAATAATGAGTCGACAATTTTAAGTTCCGTTGTAGTTGAAGATTATGCACGACCTTCAACCAGTCGAGAGCGTGTCGCCCTATTTAGGTCTCAGCAGAATGAAAAAGAACGTGAAAGCAGGCGAGACACTGAACGTTTAAGATTTAGCCAAAGAATACAAAATGAGACGGAAGAGGAGCGAGAAGCTCGACGGAACAGGGACCGAATACGGCACGTCCAGAGAAAAGAAAATGAGACAGAAGAGGAGCGAGATGCACGTCGGTGCAGCAACCGAATACAGCAAGTTCAGAAGAGGGGAAACGAGACAGAGGTTGAGCGAGAAGCACGTCGGAACAGTGACCGAATACTACACGTTCGGGGGAGGGAAAACGAAACAGAGGAGGAGCAAGAAGCACGTCGGGAGAGTGACCGAATACTACATGTTCAGAGGAGGGAAAACGAGACAGATGAGAAGCGAGAAGCACGTCGGAACAGTGACCGAATAATACACGTAAGGAAGAGGGAAAATGAAACAGAGGAGGAGCAAGAAGCACGTCGGGAGAGTGACCGAAAACTACATGTTCAGAGGAGGGAAAACGAGACAGATGAGGAGCGAGAAGCACGTCGGAACAGTGACCGAATACGACACGTACGGAAGAGGGAAAACGAAACAGAGGAGGAGCAAGAAGCACGTCGGAACAATGACCGAATATTACACGTCCAGAGAAGGGAAAACGAAACAGAGGAGGAGCAAGAAGCACGTCGGGAGAGTGACCGAATACTACATGTTCAAAGGAGGGAAAACGAGACAGTGGAGGAGGGAGGAGCACGTCGAAACAGTGACCGAATCCTACACGTTCGCAGGAGGGAAAATGAAACAAGAGAAGAGAGAGAAAGTAGGCAAGAACGAGATAGAGTTCGGCAAAACCAACGTAGGAATAATGAAACTCCTGAAGAGCGGGAAGCTAGACATATAATCGACAATGATAGGTACCGTCGCACTGTTGAAGAGCAAACTCTACTTTTGCATGACGAGGCGACCCGAGTGGAGGAACTTCGAGCAAGCCAGGACATTGCTGACAGAAATGCCCGTGTTGCCGCTGATTCTGAAAGACATAGGGTGAACAGAGTCGTTGAGAGCGACGCAGAAAGACAAACTAGGATCGCGCGGGAAAGAACTCGGCATGTCGAAAGAAATTTAACAGAATGGCGAGACACACACAACAGTGGATTCCAATATGATCCTTTTACACGTTACAGTGAAGCTGCCAATATTGGAGATTTTGATAAAGTTTGTAGGTTTTGTCACGCTTTGAGTTGGTCAAAGGAACCACGTGGAATATGTTGTGCTTCTGGTAAAGTGTCCATACCGTCTATTTTGGAAGCACCTGAGCCGCTACGTACATGGATATCGGACGAATCACCTCAATCGCGAAATTTTCTTAGACATATCAGGGCCTACAATAGTGCGTTCCAAATGACTTCTTTTGGAGGTAATGAAATCCGTGAAGGACCATATATGCCTACATTTAAGGTTCAAGGACAAGTGTACCATTTGATCGGCTCTCTTTTGCCACCCCCTGGACTTCCGCCGTCTTACCTTCAGATTTACTTTGTTGGGGATGACCAAGTCCAGCTTCAAAGAAGGCAAAGTTTATTTCAAGACCTTGATCATGACATGTTGGCCGCTTTGCAAAACATGCTTCAGAATAATAACGCCTACTTGCTCAGCTTCAAAACTACTTTAGAAACATTTCCTGTAGATTCACCTGATTTCAAAATTGTTATTAGAGCCGACAGACGCCCTGCAGGGGACCACCCAGGTAGATACAATGAACCAACAGTCAATGAGGTTGCTATTTTGATGATTGGGGATCCAAGTGACCATCGAGACATCATTTTAAATTCAAGAGAACAGGGTTTGAAACGAATATATGAAACCCACCGATCTTATGATGCCCTACAATATCCCCTTATGTTTTGTAGAGGCGAAGATGGATATAGTTTCAATTTATATCATGTAAACCCGGTTACTAAACAACCAACCACAAAGAAAACTAGCTCACGAGAGTTTTACGCCTATCGCATTATGGTTAGAGAAGGTGAAGCAAATCACATTCATAAATTCAAACAGCTTTTGAACCAGTACTTGGTGGACATGTACGCTAAAGTTGAGAGTGAAAGGCTGCTGTATCTTCGTACGCACCAAAAGGAACTGAGAGCAGAGAATTACATACACCTTCAAGACGCTTTAAGACGAGACGACAACGTAGAAGAAATGGGGCAAAAGATAATTTTACCTGCCACCTTCACTGGAGGTCCTAGATATATGCATTCTCGCACACAGGACGCCTTTTGCTATGTTCGGAAGTTTGGTCGTCCAGAACTTTTCATAACAATGACAACAAATCCAAAATGGATAGAAATCACGAGTGTAATTGGAGAAAGGCAGTCTGCTCACGACCGGTATGATGTGGTATCACGAGTTTTTCATTTGAAGCTTAACTGTATGATTGCTGTTCTTATGAAAGGCCAGATTTATGGCTCAGTTCGCTGCTACATGTACTCTGTTGAATGGCAGAAACGTGGTCTTCCACACGCTCATATCCTGATTTGGCTTGAAGAATCCATTCCTCCAAATAGAATAGATCAAGTCATTTCTGCAGAGCTTCCAAATCCTGAAACTGATCCTGAACTTGCAGATATAGTCAAGACTCACATGCTGCACGGACCATGCGGAGCTTTTAATGTGCGACAGCGCAAGCTTCCCTGTATGAAGGATGGTCACTGTAGCAAAAGATACCCTAGACCATTTGTCAATGAAACGGCAACAGGAGACAATGGATACCCAACATACAGAAGGCGCTCCCCAGATGATGGAGGCCATCATGTCCTAATCAGAGTAGGTAACGATGAAATCCCTATGGACAACCGATGGGTAGTACCTTACTCGCCTGTATTGTCCCGAACATTTCTAACACATGTTAACGTTGAGTACTGTAGCAGTGTAAAATCTATAAAGTACATCTGCAAGTACATAAACAAGGGCAGTGACCAGGCCACATTTGCAGTAAGTAATGACACAGACGAAATTAAAATGTACCAAAGTGGTCGGTATATATGCACATCTGAGGCGGTATGGAGAATTTTATCATTTCCTATACATGAGAGGTTTCCCGCTGTGTTGCATTTAGAGGTCCACCTTCCAAATGAGCAAAGAGTATATTTCCAGCCAGGCAATGTTCGGGAAAGAATGGACCAAAGTACAACTCTTTTGGCCTTCTTCAATCTCTGCCAGACGGACGCCTTTTCAAGAACCCTCCTCTACAACGAGTTGCCCTATTATTACACATACTCTAAACAAAGAGGTTGGTCCAGGAGGCGGAGAGGACAACCAGTACCAGGACATCCTGACGTGAGACAAGATCCGTGCATCGGTAGGGTGTACACTGTCCATCCAAGCTGCAGTGAGCGTTACCATCTCCGACTCCTCCTACACACTGTTCGAGGTCCAACATCTTTTGAGGATCTCAAGACTGTTGATGGTGTGCTCCATCCAAATTTCCAATCCGCATGCCGTGCCCTTGGTTTACTAGAGGATGATGCGTGCTGGGAGGGCACTCTTGCAGAAGCTGCTGTTTCTGACAGTCCCACCAAGTTGAGGGATCTCTTCAGTGTCTTATTAGTATTTTGCAATGTGAGCAACCCTCTTGAGCTCTGGATCAGATTCAGAGATTCCCTCTCAGAGGACTTTTTGAGATCTGCACATCAAGTCGACATTAACACCACCTTTGAAAACAATCCTATCATATATGACCAGTGCCTAGCAAGCATTCAAGAGACAATCACTCGCATGGGAGGACTTGGGCTCGAAAGCTACAACTTACCAGTACCAGCCATAGATGTCAATCAGTTAAACCATGATTATATCAGAGAGACAAGTTACGACCATCCCGAACTCATTAGGTTTATTGAACAGTGTACGCCAACTCTCAACGAGGAGCAGCGCCAAGTGTATGAGCAAGTTTTGACGAGCATAAATGGACAAAGAAACAAGATGTTTTTTCTTGATGCTCCTGGAGGTACTGGAAAGACCTACCTCATAAAGCTGATTCTCGCAAAGGTTAGATCAAACAGTAAGATTGCTCTTGCTGTGGCCTCTTCTGGCATTGCAGCAACCCTTCTGCCAGGTGGAAGAACTGCCCATTCCATGTTCAAAATCCCAATAAATGTAGAGCATATGGACATCCCGATTTGTTCTATATCGAAGAGCGCTCCCATGGCACGAGTTCTACAAGCAGCCTCCTTAATAGTCTGGGACGAGTGTACGATGTCCAATAAACTGACAATCGAGGCCCTCGACAGAACACTCAAAGATATGAGGAACAGTAATAAGATCATGGGTGGAGTGACGGTATTGTTCTCTGGTGACTTCCGCCAAACTCTGCCAGTTGTAGTGAGAGGCACAAGGGCGGATGAAATTAACGCCTCTATGAAAAGATCTACCCTATGGCCAATAATGAACAAACTGGCGTTAACAAAGAACATGCGGGCCAATATTGGAAATGAGGTGGAAGAATTCTCCAATGTTCTGTTAAAGTTGGGAGATGGAAAGCTGGGTAACGTTGATGGAACTATCGATATACCACCTTCTCTTGGTGTTATTGTTCAAACCCAAGATGAACTCATCGAGAAAGTCTATCCAGGAATTGAAGACCTCCCAAACAAGAGCAGTGCCTGGTTATGCAATAGGGCTATTCTCACTCCAAAAAATGAAGTTTCAACAAAGATAAATAAGAAAGTGATGTCCCTATTCCTAAGCGAGGACAAGACATATTTGTCGGTGAACACAGTTCTAAGAAATGATGACGCAGTGCACTACCCGGCAGAGTTTCTTGACTCGGTGACAGCACCTGGACTACCCGCCCACGAACTTAATCTTAAAATTGGTATTCCCGTTATGCTTCTAAGAAATTTAAACCCTCCTAAATTATGCAATGGGACTCGGCTTCGAATTCGAAGTCTCCAGCGAAATGTCATAGAAGCCGAAATTCTAACAGGCTGTGGTGCGGGAGAAGTGGTGTTTGTCCCCCGGATCCCCCTCATCCCAAGCAACTATCCCTTTGAGTTTAAGCGCCTGCAATTTCCCTTAAATCCATGTTTTTCCATGACGATCAACAAATCGCAAGGTCAGACACTGTCAACAGCAGGGATTGAACTAGGTGACGCGCAATGTTTTTCACACGGACAGCTGTACGTGGCGTGCAGCCGAGTGCGATCGCCAACCAACCTTTACATACATGCCCCAGGCGGTCGAACCACTAATATAGTATATGAAGAGGCATTAAGTTAGGCAACCTTTTAATTTTTTGTGTTTTTTGTTTTTCTTCACTATTTAATATTTATTTTCAATGTATGTCATTTGTTGTTTTTGAAATTTTGATATTGTAATTTCGCTGTGACAAATGTTAAGCGCTTCAACTCTGCTATCTTTGCCAACTTTGTTATTTAAAACTTTCGAATATTTTTTAAGATTTAAGTTTTTTAATGTATTTTTATGTACTAAATTATGTTAAAATAAATTAATCATTGTTATTACAAAAAGTTTGTAACCTTATTCTTGAATAAACCCGTACGAAGAACGGGTACTCACAGCTAGTTATCAATATAGTTAAAAAGTAATATTAAATCCTAATAATCTGGGACAGTCTTTGAACATTTTTAACCAGAGATATACATTTATGTAGTTGTAATGATATGTATATTATTACACTCATACATATTTTACAAATCACAAACAAAAATTTTCTTAATTAGAATGACTGAAAATTTTACTTTACGTTATTTAAAGTGTTGGAAAAGCGTATAATCATACTTAGTCGCCACTACAAATCTATATTAGTTTTTTAGGTAAAAATTTAATAAGCTGACGAAATTTTGCTTAATAGCTTAGAGAAGGAAAAAACCGCAATTTGCATGACTAAATGGGGCTAGAGAATACCGCTACATTTGACATGGTCGTTAAAGGTGTTTACCGCAGACATTGTTTACAGCAGCAGTATCAATGTTTCAATGAAAGCAATTCATGTTAAATGAAAGCAAATGACAGTTCGTCCCTGATTGAGTCACCTAGCAAAGACAGTATTTTCTCCAATGACATATGATTATTTGTAAATAAAAATATCGACGACTATACAAAGAGTTAATTGTTGAAAAAGCCTTGGGTCCGAAATCATACTATAACATTCTGTGCACACAAAGGAAGGCCAAGAAAATCCACCAACACATTATCTGAGACATTTACTTGAAACATTAACTGGGACACCACCATTTCCATCAAAGGAGGTATTTATAGTTTTATAGTTTATTCTCACGAGGAAAGGGGAAGATGTTGTAAGTTTTGTTTGCTTTTTTTGCCAATAAAGGTGTGGCCACAACCTTTAAGGTATGATAGCACAAGACCTTGTCACTCAGCCTTTGGCTACTTACGCCAAGCTTTTAGGAAAGCAGAGGTATTTACAGTCCAATGAAGATATTTCGTATCCTAAGTCAAGAGTTTCAGCAGGCAGTTTTACCGATACATTATAATTTAATTTTAATATAATCTGAATTGATTGTTCCTGAATTTTTAGTATTTTGTTCAAATTTTGAATGGAAGTTGCCCCATATAATGAAAGACCAAAGTCTTCAAATCTATTACAATCCACAGAAATCTATTCGAAATCAGGTGGATACCCAATGTATGATTACATACGGTTAAAGAAAACTGGGAACGACTTCGACATATATAATCAATAGTATTATTGTGCCTGCAGAACATACCCTTAGGGGTCATCGAGACAATGGCTGTTTACACGAGACGACTGGGTTTAGCAACGAGAGTGGTTTTAGGGCATTGCTACGTTTCAAAGTGTCTTCAGGGCACGAAAATCTAAAAATGCACTTGTCAACAAGACAATAAGACACAAAATGAACTCATTATCTGCTGTGGGGAAGAAATAACTGATACCACATTGAATTAAGTCAAAAACTCTAAGTATTAGTCCGTTATATTTGACGAGACAAAAGATATTTTTCGCACAGAACAACTTTTCTTGCACCTACGATTCTTACACAAAAATTCAATAAGAGAAGATTCCGTCGAATTTATTAATGCATATTAAAAACATTCAGCTATAATTCCTGATCAAGAACTTAACAGTGAACAACTTGTAACTGGTGAGGCCTTAGATTAATTGTCCCTTAGGTTTAAACAAATGTGTAGGAGTCGTCACGGACAGTTGTAGTGTCATGTCATCTGAATCAATAAATATAGGTGCTGTAACTGAAATGCAGAAAGTTATGAAGAATGCATGTCGATGTCCCTGCCCAGACCTAGTGTTGAATGACTTTATTTCAACCTCAGTGAAAGATGAAGACAGTTTTGTATTTTTTTAATATGTCTGCCAGAAGAAATCAAGTTTTGAAGGTAAAACTTAATAACTTACCTAAAGTGAAAAACCCATAAACAGTAACCGTTCATACCGTAATGTATGGTATTACGGATTTGTGTATGCTTGGTTTTTTTTATGTTGGTTGAGGATACTAACAATCAAGCCTGTGTGAAACTTGATGGGTGGAACGCCACGAAAGCGTCATCACACTTAGAGCTGCACTTACTATTATTGTAGAAGCATTAACATTGATAACTATATGAAAAGATTCGAAGTCATTTACTGTCAAATAAAGAAGTTTTATATTGATTAACAATTTTATTTTAGGAATAAAATGTTACCAACTGAATTATTTGTAAATACAAAACTAAAACAATCTCCAGATGATCTTAATAATAACTAAATAAATATTAAAGAACAACAAACATATGACATCTTCTCTTCCCTTTTTTTAAAGACATGTTCTTCTTGGTGGATTTATTTGTCTACCAAATGAGGAAAAACAATTAGGCTCAGTTCCAGGGTCATCAGATGTTTTGGGTTGTAGTTGTCTTAGCATTACCCCATTGCGACGTAACATGCCTTCGTTTGTCTTAACTGTGTATGATCTTGGAGCTACCTTATTAACTATCTTCCCATCTTCTCTCCTATCTGGAATATACACGTTGCACCCAATAGTGAATTGCTTTTCATCTCTCACCCTATGCCGTTTATTGAAGTAATCTGCTTGAGTTGTTCTATATAGTTTGTCCAATTCTCTAAATGTCTTGTGATCTACCATTTTAGGCTTGAGATCTTTCGTCAATGACGGTAGTCGTGTTCTTAGTCTTCTTCCCATCAACAATTCCGAAGGGCTGTACCCTGATGGACCTGGTGTTGACCTGTACTCCAGTAATGCAAGAGTGGGGTCTTTGTTCTTTGTAAGCATCTTTTTAAGCGTTTGGACTGCTCTTTCAGCTTCACCGTTTGCCTGATGGTGTAAGGGACTACAACAAATAGTTTTAAACCCAAAATCGGCTGCAAAGGCTCTCCATTCTGAGCTTGTAAACTGTGAGCCAGAATCAGAAATTACGATTTCAGGGATCCCATGTCGAGCAAAACAGGCTTTCATCTTCTTGATTAGTTCATCTACAGTCATTGTGGACACATTTATCATTTCCAAGTACCGTGAATAATAGTCCACAACAGCCAAGTATTTGCCTTTCACAAAGTCAAAGTAATCAACTGCTATTCTTTGCCATGGATAGTCAGGAGTGTCTGATTGAATAATTTTTTCTGACTTTTGGTTTTGGTGTTTAGCACAAGTGTCACAATTTTCAATCAAGTTATGTATCTCTGTTGTAATTCCTGGCCAAAACACAGATTGTTTTGCTCGGAGGACTGTGCGTGTAGACCCGAAATGACCATCGTGCAGTTTATTAATGATATCTTTTCTAAGTTCAAATGGGATAATAATTCTTTCTTTATAACATATCAAGTCTTCTATTATAGATAGGTCGTCTTTAAAGGTATACCACTTTCTCATACTCTCTGGCACATCCTTCTTATATTTAGGCCATCCATTTTCTGTGTATTTCACCAACATCTGACATTCTTCACACAGGATCTGGGCATTCTTTATTTGTTCCAATCTTGACTGTGTTGCTGGAAAGTTTAAAGATATTACCTTAATGTGTGCCTCTACCTCTTTTGTGAACTCATCTGTAGAATCTGGGATCGGCGCTCGGCTTAATGTGTCTGCTGTAAACATTTCTTTTCCGGGAATGTGTTCGATGGAGTAGTCAAATTTCATCAATCGCATTTTGAATCTCTGAATCCTAGCTGGTATTGTGTCTAGGTCTTTGCTTCCAAGGAGCGAAACTAATGGTTTGTGGTCTGTTAGGATTCTAAATTTTTTTCCAACTAAAAACTTAGAAAACTTTTCTGCGGCCCATGCACATGCAAGAGCTTCCTTTTCTATCTGGGCATATCGTCTTTCACAGTCCTGTAAGGTCCTTGAAGCAAACATCACTACTTTGGGAGATTTATCTTCAACCTGAAGTAACATTGCACCCAATCCATATGCTGATGAATCGGCTATAACAATAGCTTCAGCATTTACATCATACTTAGTTAAAGATATTGATTCATTGACGGCCTGTATAATGTCTGAAAGGGCTTCTTGATGTTGACTTGTCCAACAAAATTGTCTATTCTTTCTAGTAAGCTCACGGAATGATTCAGTTTTATCAGCTAAGTTTGGAATGAACTTGTTCAGTTGATTCAACATACCATTTAATCGTCGAACTCCCGCAATATCTTTAGGAGGGGGAAGTTCCTCGAGTGCTCGTATACGATCAGGATCGACCTTGATACCATCACAGTCGATCAGGTTTCCAAGAAACTTCACAGATGTCTGGGAAATAGAACATTTTTCTTTGTTCAGTAGAACCTTTGCTTTTTTTAAGCGATCTAATACTTGAGTGAGCCGGTAATCATGTTCCTCTTGTGTTCGGCCATGTATAAGTATGTCATCCATGTGACATAATACCCCATCGATACCATTTAAAAGTTTAAACATCTGTGTAGTGAAAAACTCTGGTGCGCTTGTAATGCCAAAGGGTAATCTCTTGAAATAAAATCTTCCAAATGGAGTAATAAAAGAAGTTAGTTTAGCTGTGTCAGGTAATATTTTTATCTGCCAAAACCCTGACTGGGCATCTAGTTTTGAAAATATTTTAGAGCGTCCAATTTGTCCTAGTGTTTCTTCTACATCTGGTAGTATTATCTTTGGCCGTTTAACATTCCTATTAAGTTCAGTGTAATCGACACACAAACGTAGACTACCATTGGGCTTGAGTACTGGTACTATTGGTGCACACCAGTCAGTTGGAGACTCTACTTTTTCTATCACTCCTAAGTCCAACATTCTGTTCAATTCTGTCTCCACTTTTGAACGTAAAGGAATTGATATGTTTCTTGGAGCTCGAACCGAGTACGGTTGAGCGTTTTCGTTCAATTCTATCTTATATTCTCCTGGAATGCTTCCCAGACCAATGAAAAGCTCAGGGTGGCTAGTTAATACAGAGTCTAAGGTAATTGAGTTAAGTCCTGCAGTATCAGGTTTTCTGAGGGTTATGAGATTTAAAGATTTAATCGCAGGAATTCCAAGTAAAGGTTCGTTTAATCCTGCAACAACATACACCTTTTCTTTCACCATTTTCCCATCGTAAGCTATGTCTGCTATAAACATACCTCTTACATCTAGTTCCCTCTGATCAGCATTCCTATGTATACGGTCAGATTTCATAAGTTTTGCATGAATTACATTTGAAGGAATGGCTGTAACTTCTGCACCTGAATCAAGTTTTGCTTTAACTAACTGATTATTGATAAATATTTCTACATACCAAGAACTGGAGTCATAGCATGAAGCATTCACAGGTCCTAAATATGCTATTGAAGCTTCAGTAGTGTCAGGCTTGTCCAAACGTCTTATTTCGTTAAGTCCTTTCGTGTTGCCCGTTGTTTTAGTCTCTAATAATCTGCTTCTGCAATGTTTGGCAAAATGGCCGATTTTTTGGCAGTAATGGCATGCTAAATCTTTAGCAGGGCATAAGTGCCTGGCGTGCATTGGACCTCCACAGTTCCAACAACATTCTTTCCTAGTTGTCTTTAAATCATGGGTTTTGTTAAATCTTGCACTTTGTTTTTGGTCTGATTTGATTCGGTCAACTTCTGCATGTTTTCCTTGGCATATCATTTCTAGTTCAGCTGCTTGTTTGCTGATAGACTCTTTTTGTTTGCATTTTTGGACTGCTTTTTCCAATGTAAGATTTGAATCTTCTTGTAATTGGGCCGATAAACGTTTGTCAGTTATACCCACTACAATTCTATCACGTATTAGTTCTGCTTTAAGGTTCTTGAATGAACAGTGTTCGGCCATTGAGCTTATGTCTGCCAGAAATGTATCAAATAATTCATCTGGTTGTTGTGATCTTGAATTGAACTTTGCTCGTTCGTATATGACATTTCTTTTGCCAGTAAATATGTTATCAAAGGCTTCTGTTACAGATTCATATGAGGCTTTGTCATCTTCTGAGAGGTGTGCTGTTGATAAGATGTCCTCAGAATCAGGCCCCATACAGTAAATCAAGCAGCTTACTTGTTTTACTTGAGGTTCATTGTCCAGTCCTGATGCAATTCTATACCTTTCAAATCGCTTAAACCACTTTTCCCATAACTCTGGATATTTGGAATCAAAAGGTTCAGGAGGTTGAAACATGACTGATGTAGTCCTATTTTGCTGCTGTCTTGGTTCTAGAACAGTATGTGTTTCTGATGATTGATTTGATTTGTTTCCTCTGATTGATAATCTATTGTTTTTTGGCATTTTAAAAAACTAAACCGCTGCCACCATGTCAAATAAAGAAGTTTTATATTGATTAACAATTTTATTTTAGGAATAAAATGTTACCAACTGAATTATTTGTAAATACAAAACTAAAACAATCTCCAGATGATCTTAATAATAACTAAATAAATATTAAAGAACAACAAACATATGACATTTACTACTGCATCAACTTTGCTGAACTTGTTACACACCTCTGAGCTTTTGATATCAATGCTGGCATTGATTGCATCTTGAAAATCACATAACCCTTAATAGACTACTCCAAACACCATCCCTGGACTCCAATATGGCATCACATGCTGCAGCTAAACACACTGGCTACAATACAAGCGAAACGGTCACAGCTTGAAACAAACTTCAGCACGGTGTTTGTTGCATTTACAGAGCAAGCCACAGATGTTGAAGTAAGGTTAGCACGACTTGCCAGCAAGCAAACGAAAAGCGCAAACCATCCAGGAACCCGGTCCATTTACATACCTCTACTGGACAATGTTTCAAATGACCTATCATCAAGACTAAGAGTTCCCTGAAATGTCTAAGAGGGATCATTCCCACTATTCTGGTTGGAACACAAAGTGAACAAAATCGAAATCTACTTAATCAGTCGAAAAGAGGATTTAATAAGTTTTCTTCCATAGTTGGCAGTGGGGAAAATAAAACGAACATGATTTGCTTCGAAGGCGAACTATGGAACTCAGTAAAAGTCACAGGAGGAGAAAAATGTTAAGCTGACTTAAGATGTAATGAAAGTGTTGGATGTCTGTGACAGCAATATGTTTCCTACGATAACAAATCTTGTCAGAATTCTGGTTACTCTTCCAGGTATGTGATATTTAATAGTACGGTCTACTAAGCATAAATTATAGGCTACTAAATAAACAGTTTATTCTTATTATCCTTATATATATATAATACGTGAAGGCGATTTCTACAAAACACTACTCCTCCGTTAATAATGGACGGATTTTTACAAACGACGTGTCAAAATAGAGTATTTGTTGTGTAGATGCCCCCTTTCATCAATTCCTGTAATAAAAATCCTCGGGCTTTGCTCCACAGGCCATCAAAGTTGGAGTTTTTCCCATAAGATTAACATGGGGGAATCTAAATATAAAATTGGCAACTTTGTCACCACTAATTTGAGAGAACGGCTGGGCGTAGGAACTTGGTAGAGGTGTCAAAAGAAAGGTCTTGGTCTGTAGACCATTTATCAAAAGAAAAACTAAGCAAAATCCCTTAGAACTCTGCCCTAGAAGCCATTAAAGATCTCTCCAAAGAGACACATTTTGGCCATGTGAATAATACTTTTTAATGAAACAGCTGTTCATTTGAAAATTGTATTTCAAACAACACACATTTATTGGGAGTTACTGAATTCTACCATTGACTATATATAATATTAATAGTCAAAGACTCTACAAAATAAGTATTTGCAATGTTATTTTCTGATTTTAAAATTGATTTTCTTCTTAATCATGTCATGTTTTGCAATATAACGTTCCATTACGAAATCAGTGGAAAATCCTTTTATCACACCAATTCTTAAATTATTTCTTATTGAATTATTTTATATCTATTGTACGGGTTGGTGTCTGCCTTTTTCGCCACTTTTGCCTACATTTTATCATATTATTCTACACATATCAAATATTTATGTAGAAATACTGCTCTTTATCGTGTCTAATAAAATCCAAACATAGAAACCTTGCCTAAAATGGCACCCATCTTAACAAATTATTTGCACCTGCCTATATTACGAACTTTGGCGGACTGGGTTGGTAACATTATTGAAAATAACACGAAATTTTGGCTGTAAAATATGGTACAAAGAGAAAATACTATTTAAGCAGCTTTACTGTCATGACAGAAACGTCATATTCCTTTTAAACTAGATCACATAATCCTTTATAAGATACATTGATTATTAATATGTAAACTTCAATATATACGTAAAAGCCAATTTACAGTATTTTTGCTTTTTGGAAATGTCCCATTGCTATGTCATTTGCGTTATTTGTTGCCAATGAAGCCGCAAGACCATATGAACTAGGAGGCCCCTTAACAGTTCAAGAATAAAAGCCAACTTCACTTCAAGTATTCCAATACACCTAACATTCCGTAGAGAGATTATATTGACAACTTTATGTTATTGATAAGGCTGAGACAACTAACTGACATCCCCCATGTCAAGGAATTCCAGCTTTACGAGTAAACCCTCAATAAATTTCTCAAAACTATATTAGAGGGTTCATTCATTGGCACAGAAGTACGATATGGACTGACGTGACGTGACGAAGGAAAAATCAATCTTACACTGTAACGGATATAGGCTACCTCCCTTTAAAGTTAGAATTATGTCTTCCCAAAAAATATTTTCATTTGTAATAAAATCATATTACACTGATGAAATCACGGAAGTGTTTAACTAGAAAAGATCCACCAATACGATTTTAATACTATTTTAAGACTTGAAAGTAACCGTCGATTTCGACGGGTTTCACCTAGTTTTACTATAATACTGAAATATAATTATATTACTTGTACTAATCGGCAGAAATACCTGATGGAATTTGTTTATACACAATACGGAAGTCGCGTGGAGGAGGCGGCTTCCCCAAGGCCACTTGAGGGAGTTTCTTTCAGTGCCATACCGCAGGAGCAGTGGTCTGGTGAGCATCTTACCGTGCAAGGTTTGGGGCAGAGATAAAATCTATGATTTTGAGTGGCAGGCATGAATGAGTCTCTGGCGCTGGTGTGGCGGGTTGTTGGCGGCTTGTGTGAATGGACTTTTGGGTTTAAATTTAATTTAATTTAATTTCAACATTTTTATAATATGGTACCTTAGATTATTTAATTTTACTTATAAAGTGGATAGTTTATTTATGTTTTTAGAGGTTAAGTGGTAGAGAGGACTTGCTAGTCCTAACTTCGCCTCTTAAATAAAGACATTTTTCATTTCATTTCATTTTTCATTTCATTTCATTTCATTATCACCAGAGATTTTCAGAACAAATGATTGATTTGATGGATTGCGAAATGATTCTTTTAATGATGAGGCTCATTTTCATCATGAAGAGTATGTCAAAAAACAAAATGTTCACAATTGGTCAAACACAAAGCCACTGGAGTTACATGATTCTTTACTTACAATACTTACTCTTTCTTACAATGATTCTTTTAATGATGAGGCTCATTTTCATCATGAAGAGTATGTCTGTCATATATGTATGTTCTTATTCTAAACCATCAATGGTATTATTATTTAAGTAGAGTTTGATACTCTATGTCGAGTCTATATAAGTAAAACTAGTAGGAACTCTCGATCTCTTTTTTTTACTTTTAGAACTTAATAAAATGGCTGTAACTGAGATGGGACTTTTATTAAAACATCCCATCATTATATGGCGCAGTCAAATTTAAAGTAATGGTACAGCCACTATACATAAAAAGGAATAAAAATGCCCAAAAGTAATAATGAGCAAGAGGAGATAGATGTTAAAGGGCACAGTGTAAAAGGTTCAAGTAGTGCACCTCACATTCGACCGCCATCAGAATTTCAATGGTCAGGTAACTTAGGAGAAAATTGGAAATCTTTCCGACAGAAATTTGAAATATATCTCGTTGCATCAAAATCTCAAAATGAAGACTCAGAATATCAAGTGTATTTGCTTTTAAGCATAATAGGTGATAGGGCTTTGAAAGTATTCAATAACTTCACTTACACTGGTTCAGAATCGGCTAAAGACTTAAAACATGTTCTTAACAAGTTTGATAACTACTTTTTGCCTGAAGTTAACGTAACTTTTGAAAGACACAATTTCTTTTTAAGAGAACAAAAGGACAATGAGCCTATAGATGAGTATGTGACTGACCTCAGGGATTTAAGTTCAACCTGTGATTTTGGTTCATTAACAGATAGCCTTATTAAAGACAGGATTGTGTTAGGCATTAAAGATAGGGCAGTGAAAGACAGACTTTTAAGGACTAAAGACTTAGATCTTAATAAAGCTCTAGACATATGTAGGGCGTCAGAAATTTCAAAGCATCAGTTGAGTGAAATCTGTACCGGTACATCAACCGATGCAGGTTTAAGCCTACATAAAATCAAGGCTACCAAACCTGCGAAGCAGTGGTCGGACAAAGGTAAGGGAAACCAATATAAACCTACCAGTAACACAGGCGCAACGAGAAAATCTACAAGGCTTATGGGAAAGGTATGTGGCAAATGTGGTTATAATCATCCGATGTTTAAGTGTCCAGCCTATGGTAAACGATGCATTAACTGCTCTAGATTGGACCATTTTTCTAGCCAGTGTAAAAAATAAAAATGTAAGTTCACTAGAAGTTAAATCAGAGGATGAGCCTAGTGAAGATAAACTTCATCTAGGTTGCATAAATGAAATCGGTTCTAATAATTAATGGTCTGTAAAGCTATTAACAAATGATCTTATTTACATTCCTTACAAGCTAGATAGCAGTCCTCAGGTCAGTATTTTGACTCAAGACTATCTTGATTTACTTGAAATAGATAAGCACAATTTGTTGCCTACCAAAATCAAACTGTCATCATACACGGGCCAGAAATTGTCTGTATTAGGCTTATGTTACCTTGATGTAGTGCATAAAGGTGAAACTCATAAATTACCTTTCTATGTCGTTAACCACAATGCACCACGTATACTAGGTCTTTCAGCTTGTGTAAAGTTAAAGTTAATATCAAGACTAGACTATATGACAACTAAGCCTAGTGAAATAGGCTTAGCCCACAGTCACAAGAGTAAAATTGGTAACACTAATAGTGAGTCGATACTAAATCAGTACAGTGACCTTTTTGAAGGTGTAGGTTGTTTTAAAGGAGAATGCAGCAT